AATCAATTTTGTGGATTCTAAGGAGAATTAGGCGTCTACACTTCGAGAATAACGAGTTCAATAGTTAAAGAAGTCTCACAAATACGTTTTTTATACTCAAGTTGAAATATAAAATATAAAACTGACATTTCCCCTTAGGTGGGCGGTACAGGCACACCCTCCCCTAGTAATAGGATAAAAATCCAAAAATTTCAAATTTTTCATGAATAACATGAATATTCATGACTAAATTACCTTGAATGTCCGATTTATTGAAAATGCGAAAATATATTTACCAAAACAGATTTTCTCATCAAATTGTGAATTTTCAATGATGAATTCCTTGAAATTTCGGTGGAACTATCACTCGCTAGAAATTTCAAGAAATGTTTCGGAAATTCCAGCCAAAAAATGTTCAACAGTGTAACTTTTCCTCAATTGACGCTGCCGCTGCGGATATGAACATCCTCGCTAATCCGAGGCACGACAAATCATTTCAACAAAGAATATTAATCACGTCGAGTTGTAAATTTCTCGGAAGGAAAAAAATTCTCGGAAAAACGTAGATTATGCAGAAAAGATATATCCATGAGTATGCAGGGGACACGTTGCATTACGTCAGTCAGTGTGGCATCTGTCCTCTCCCCTCGTGCGAATGTCTCACTGGGATGATGTTTTGCTCAAGCAACTGAGAGACTCAAACCGAATGAAATAACGACTTTTGTGCTGGGTACTTGGGTGCCAGCGACGTACGTCAGTTAATGAATTACGTCATTGTTTAAAATTTTTTTTTTCCAGTGTGCATCGTGTGGTTGTCATCAGTTCGCCGAGATAAAGTGGTGGAATTGAGAAAAATGAAAGATGTAGGATGAGTGGAGTTGATTGAAAAAGTCAATGGAATTATTTTTACCCTCGTATTTAGCAGCATGAGCTATTTTAAATTTGCAGTGTATAAATTTGGAGCTTCTTTTTAAAAAATTTAATAAACTTTATTTTTCTTGTTTTTTTATGGTAGTACCGATTTTATTCGTCGAAAATTAAATAATTTGTTAGACGGCGTAGAGAACAAATTTATGAACATGTAATTTTTCAATATTTATGAATAGATAAATTTTAAATAGAGAGATGTGTCTGATAAAAAATGCGTCATTTTTCTAAATGTCAAATTTTCAAATCGATTTGTTTTTTTGTCTATTATCTGTTTTGTTTATTAATAATCGTGCAGGTTTTCATGATTTCCATTTTTCCTAACTAAATTATTCTGTTTCTGTCTGTTGCTATGAATGTCAGCAGTTTTTTTCTCGGGCTTTACAATTATAAAATGGAATAAAATTAATTTTTCTCGTTTCTTTGATGCAAGTAACGATTTTATCTATGGAAAATGAAATCATCTCTTAGACGGCGAAGAGCACGAATTTATGAACGTGTAATTTTCCAATACGATATTTATTGGATAGAAGAAGTGATTGAGTTCGTATGATTGAATCATTTCCATTGGAATGTACGACTTCATTTCTAAGAAAAATATTGTTGTATGAATAGGAAAATTTCAATTAAAGAGTTGTATCTGATGAAACTGTCATTTTTCTAAATGTAGAATATTCTTTATATTTCATCAAAATTTCTATTTGCTTTTTGCGCCGAGTCTATTAATAATCATGCAGCTCTTCATGATTTCCATTTTTCCTATCTAAATTATTCTGTTTCTGTTTGTTGTTATGACTTTTTTCAGTTCTCATCTCGGGTTTCGCAATAAAAAAAAGAAACAAAATGCGGAAAATAAAATAGGAAATTGATGTCCAAGAATTAACCCAGAAAAAAATCAAAAGATTAAGTAATTGAAAAAAATCTTATCCTAAAAATTTAGTTTTCTCCTTTCAAATTTCATCTCGTTATAATTTTTTCCGTTTTCCATTACAAAACGTGGGAGAATCAACTCCTATTGACTTTGTTCCATAAAATAGCTATTGCAAGACGTACAGCAGAGTTGTATAAATTTTAATTACAAGTCGGAGATAAAATCGGAAATTTATACCCAAGATTTAATACAGAAAAAACTCAACCAAAGAAGTTCTCGAAAAAATCTTGTTCTATAAATTTCGTTTTGTACATGTTTCGAAACTTTTGTTCCCATTTACCGAAACATCGTGGATTTTCAGTGCACATAGAAGGAAAAAACCAGTGAGATAATAATAAAATGATTAAGATAATGAAATGGAAGAATAATCAGCAAAGCGTGGGAAAGGCGCGTGTAGCACAGGTACTTGATGATTCAAGCTCTGTCTGTGAGAAAAAAATAAGGAGGCCTGCGAGCAAGATCGCTCTGGTCGATGCTATACGTGTAGATATTATACATAAAGGCTCAACCGGCTGTTGTGCGAGACACGCCGAGCCCTGGAGGGGGCTTATCGCATTTCGAAACAATAGCATCAAGCGCTACCAAGTATATACGGACTTCCGCCGTTCTTGGATCCGGACCGTGCGTACAAGTGGGTGCAACGCACTTGCCCGCTAACGACGGGATAGGAGATGTTTCATTAGAGAACGTTGATGGGTAATTAAAATTAAGAAGGGGAACCACGTACTCGGAAGGAACGAAAACAATCGTGACTCGAGGATATTCAAATTTTACGCTCATCTGAGCGAGATGTTATATAAGTAACAGTTTCGAAAATATTTTGGCTACGGGCCTATTGTGAGAAATTTTTTTTTGTTGTCTGCAATTTTCTTGCAATAAATTCCGTTAGACATTAAAAAATTAATTATTTTGGCTATTTCTCTTCTCTAGTGAAACGTTTTTTGCTCCCGCGGAGAGAAAAATTCAATAAAAGTTACCAGAAAAAAAGGAAAAATTACGTTTCGAAAGGTAATCCGCGAGCGAAGTCAAATTCAATAAAAAGTGTGAGTCGGAACTGAAATTGTACGAATTGCCACGGAAATTCTACGATTTGTTCCGTAAAAATTAACCACCCGTCTGATGACTCACCGTTGTGGGGACAAGTCGTTCCGTAATTTTTCCCCAGCGATTGAGGAATTTTACGGAACGGAACGTAGAAATAACTCACCAGCTTCATAAACATTGTTGGAGGCATAATAAATCGGCAAGTTTCTGTAAGATTTTACTTCTTCGGAAAAAATTACGTGACTATTTCGTATAATACATTGATCGGTGATGAACCTGAAAATTCACTGAACATTTCAAATTTCTTCTCTTCCATTCCTATAAAAATTGCCGGAAAACGATTCCCCATTGCGGGAATCGCATTGTTTTGGATTTTTTGTGTCATATTGACCCAGTATGATCCAAAAAGTCCGAAAATGCCTTAGACCCCATCCGTACGTGTGTTCGTACACTGATAGAAGAAATTATTGGTATTGTGATGTTTCTTTCTCGGAACAAGTATTACATACTTGAACCAATTTCAAATAAATAAGATTTTACGGTGAATATCAATTATTTCTCCTTGAGATACATTTACTTGAATTAAATAAAACAGTCCTTGGCGTCAAGTCACATGTAACACCACAAAAATGGAAAAGTTCTAGTTTTTTTAACCTAATATAATCTCCAGTCGAGAAATTTTCTACTTTCATGAATTGATAAAAAATTCGTACCTAGGAGATGATTACATTGAGGAATTAATTGAATGTTGTTTTCTCGAATGAAGCCGATGTTTAAATTGAGCTTTCCGTACATCACATTGACCGAACTTTGTGATATCCAAGTTTGTGTTGAATTGCCGTCATCTGTGATTCTGTTGTTGTAAACTAATGCGATTTTTTTTAGTCAAGAAAGATGAACTTTTTTCAACTCAACGACATCTTACTACAATCTCAAAGCTTTTTCCGCGTAACAATATGCATCCTGATTCGACATACGAAATGCTCACTTCAATTATAATTTACTTGGAACAACGTATGATCGTGTTGATTGAGATAACAACGTATTTAGTCATGAGAATAATTTCGATTTTTGAGTGAACCAACGAATTTCTGGCAAACTTTTGGCTAGAAAGGAATCAAATACTCTCGTTATTGCGAGAAATAAAAGGAACTTCAATTCTAGAGAAGTTCGATTTCTCCCAATCAAATGTATCTCAAGAAGAGATTCCTGGTATTCACTATGAAATCATGTTTATTTGAAAACTAACAACCAAATGATTTATAAATAATAAAAGGAAATGATGTGCAAAATGACCATTCGAAAGCATATTGCTAATTCATTAGCAAAAATAGCTGTACTATATGCAATACAAGAGGAATTTCTCAGTTATCTACTTTTGTAGTCGAACGCACATTTATTTTATCGCGATATTGAACCGTTAGAAACCACTTTAAAAATCTGAAAAAAAATAGAAAATTCACTTCAGAAAAATTTACATTTATTTTTTGTTCCCATTTCTATTTTTATTTCATCCTAGCTCGCTATCCCAGTCTGCTATCCGCCTAATTAAAAATATATTTTGAGGATTTTAATTGGAAGTAAATACCGTGACAATCAACCTAATTTCATTCCTCATCTCTGTGTCTATTTTTTCAGTCTCCCAGAGGGAAAAATGAACAGTGCGGTGTATGCCACTTCCTGTCCAGCTCTGCAGTCGAATTTATCACTGCACAGTTCGTCGCATTACAGTGATTACAGTGCTACGAGCCAGCGTAGAGAACGTCATCAGAGACGTGGGCGTAGACGATTGTCATCGACGGGCGATGCTGATACCTCAGCAACGTCCAGCTATGAGGGGAGCGAGGGGAGTTCGGTTAACAGTGATGATCAAACCAGGCTGGATCCTGTTACGCAGGCCGAGAGGGAACAGTTGGAGGCGTTTTTTAGGGGACTAAAATCTCAGGTATTGATTCACCTAAATTCAAGGTGACCCTTGTCAGGAGTGAATTGATGAAATAGAACAGGAATAGTCGATTCATCATCTAGTGTAATCGGTGAATCATCTTGAGAATGGGTTATTCAGGGGGCGATGTTGATTTGAATGGAAGCATTGTCATCGTTCGAATTTAGGTTTCCAAATTTTTCGTGTTAGATTTATTCATTTTTAACGGGATTTGTTTCTAGTTCCAAGGAACTCGCAACTGGCCATCGCCAGGCCTTCAGCTGGTTATATTTTTGTTAAGAATAATAAAGATTTCATGTTCAGTTCAACAGTTTAGTCGACAGTGATGATTAAATCAGACTGAATCCTGTTACGCAGGCCGAGAGGGAACAGTTGGAGGCGTTTTTTAGGGGACTAAAGTCTCAGGTATTGATTCACCTAAATTCAAGGTGACCCTTGTCAGGAGTGAATTGATGAAATAGAACAGGAATAGTCGATTTATCATCCAGTGTAATCGGTGAATCATCTTGAGAATGGGTTATTCAGGGCGCGATGTTGATTTCAATGGAAGCATTGTCATCGTTCGAATTTAGGTTTCCAAATTTTTCGTGTTATATTTTCCAGAAAAATTAAGATTTCATGGACTGTTCAAGTGGCGGACGATGTTGATACCGCAGTAGCTAACCGGAGAAATTTAAAAACAAGTGGGAAATTGCTTTCGTCACTACATAGTCAGTATATTTTTGCTAATAAATTAGCAATTTACTTCCGAATGGAATTTTTATGACTATATACTTCAAATTGAATTGCATGAGTCATTTCATTCAACATTGCTTCAGCTTTGGCAGTCACCATCGCCACAGCGTTAAAATTATTCACCTTGCAGGCAGTATAAATCGTAATTGGATTTATTTAAACAATTATTTTTTCAGTTGTAGTCGAAAAATGATTTCATACATACAGCCGGACATGATCTAAACATAGAATATTCGAATTTCTCACGTCAAAATTAGTTATTCTAACACAAAAAATGGGAAATTTCAGATTTGACAAATACAATGCTCCCATTCTGAAGCAAAAATCTTTTTTTTTTCAAGTGATGTGTCTGAAAAATGATAGTAGTTCTAGAACAACATATGTTCCGAAATTCCTGAAGAAAACTGATTATTTCTAACAGATGAATTATCATTTTCCATGCTAAATGAGATTGCTCTCGAGGGATGTTGCCGGCAACCCGCTAAACGCGCCCGGGGGTGTGGAGTGAATTTGGCAACGCTGAAGCCGAAATAATACGGCGGGGAATCCCCGCGGAGGAGACCAATCAGAGGGTCGCATACGGTGATCAGACTAGGGTTAATAATCGCTGAAAATTACAGTTTCCATTGATTTTTTCCATCAAATTGCGTGTTTTCAATTAGATAAATCCTTAAAATTGCAATGGATATCATCGCTTGCTGAAAATTTCCGAGAATAGGGCACATACGCATTTCTTTTTCATTTTTATCAGAATCTAGAAGTTGCAACAATCTCGAAAATACTTTTTACAAACCTCCAGGTCACTTTTTTCAATGAAAATTCGTTGATAAAAAAGTGCACTTTTTGGAGGCCTCAAGCGGAGTGTGACGTTACAGCAGGGAAGTTGCAATGTCTCTCACTCGCTTTCCCAGCGGAACCCGGCAAAGGCGACGCGCATCGTCTCTCTCGCATGTGGGCAGTTTAGTGTGACTGCCCTGCTGTGGCGTATCTGTCCCGGCGGCGGATGTTTGAACGCTGAACTTTGAATTCATTATCAACATTAATTTCTCTATATTATAAAAATCCAAATCGACTTCTGATAGTAAAAATTTGGTACTCGAAATAAAGATTTTTAAACTAAGGGTCAAAATATAGGTCATGAGGGTCAGAATATAGGTAACAAGGGTGAGAATAAGGGTCACGAGGCTCAGAATACGGGTCACGGGGATTAAAACACAAGGGTCAGAGAGTAAAGATCACCAGGGTCAAAATGAGGATCAGATTCAGGCTCCAAATAAGGGTCGCAAGGGTCAGAATAAGGATCATGAGGGTCAGAATAAAGATGACGAGGGTTAGATTAAGGGTCACAAGGGTCAGAATACGGGTCCAAATCAGAGTCGTGGGGTTCATATGAGGCTATACATGTGTCGTATGAGGTCATACGGGGGTTGACGAGCGAAGCAAGCAGGGGACTAGTGAACCATATAAAAATCAAATTTTTTTAATAGAATATTAGGTTTACAGTCCACAGAACGAGTGAAGAGGGAAATTTTCCCAATTAAAAAAAAAGTATGTTCCCTATTGTTCCAGAAATTTCAACTAAAACTATTCAACAGGACAGGCTAACTAAAAGTCTCAATTTTTTTTTGATTCTCCCCTTTAAAAAAATCTATATTATTTATGGAAATCAACTTTAACATGTTCAGGAGCGTATTGCTGCTTGATTAGCAACAATAACTATAATAATTTATAAACAATACAGTTATCCGCTCCTTTGCGTGGATTTCATAATGAGAAACAAAGGAGATGAAGAGGGAAGACACCTTGCGTTCATTTTCATCTGCAAAAAAAAACAAATTTTAAATCCCATAAAAAGTCCATCAAGTTGGAAGAAATCAGTTTCACCTTCAGAACAATGACGATGATTTTTACCGTCGCCTCGTGCATATTGACAACAAAGTATCGCCAGAAGATCTTATGGCCCCTTAAAATTTATCACCAATTTTATCTTTACGGTTTTCTCTGTTGCAGGTCTATGTGTGTGAGTCACTTGCCAATTTATATCTCGGAAGTGCCTCACAAGCGCAGGGCAACTGGGAGCTACGATTCACTGGCATACCAATTGTGGTACTGGACCTTGGGGAGACGAGATCGAGATCCAAACGACAGATTCAGATTTTACTCGCTGAGAGAGGAACCTGTTTCACATTATGGCGTGAAACTATCGACAATTTATCGTCTTACAAAGTAATTTTCTCATTTCAACAAAAAAAACACCATTTCACCAACAAATCTATAATTATTTTATCCCTTGCATGCAATCTATTTAAATAATACTAATGATTATTAATTGCCCGATAGGCTGCCGCCCGAGGGCTTTCACCCACAGATTTATTCTTATTAATTATTATTATGATAAAAAGAAACATCAACATTTTTCATGGGGGCCGAGGGGTAAAAGGACACTTCAGAATTTTTTTTTATGCTAAAACATTATTCAGTTGGTGATGTAATGATCCAATTTTTGGTTTTCTTGAAGACTACACTTTCTCTTTACAATGAGCGCAGACTTCTGAATTGATCAACTTATTCCGGAATTATGAATACTAAAAAAAAAATGTTTGAAGTGTCCATTTTATCTCACTTGCCCCTAATTCTTAATAGAAATCTAAAAAACAAACTACCTGTCCCATTAATTATCTTTGATTTATTTTTATCATGTATTATTATAAAAAAATTCAACATAAAACATAGGACAATCAAAAAAAGGGATACTTCAGAATTTTTTTTAATGTTAAAACGTTATTCAATTATTGATGAAATGATACAATTTTAGTTTTTCTTGAAGACTGCACTTTCTCTTTGCAATGAGCGCAGACTTCAGAATTGATCAATTTATTCCGGAATTATGAATATTTAAAAAAAATGTTTGAAGTGTCCATTTTGCCCCATCTGTCCCTAATTCTTAATAGAAATCTTAAAAAAGACGATTTGTCCCATTAACTAACTTTGATTTATTCTTATCATGTATTATTTTAAAAAATTCTACATAAAACGTAGGACGATCAAAATAAGGGACTCTTCAGAATTTTTTTTAACGTTAAAACTTTATCCAATTGCTGATGAAATGATATGATCTTTGTTTTTCTTGAAGACTACATTTTCTCTTTGCAAAGACCCCCGACTTTTGAATTGATCAACTCATTCCTGAATTATGAATATTAAAAAAAAAAAGATCCGAAGTGCCCATTTCGCCCCATCTGTCCCTAACTCTCAATAGAAATCTGAAAAAAAACGAATTGTCCCATTAATTATCTTTGATTTATTCTTCAGGTGTCGGGGCCGGCATTTCACACAATGTGCCTATCCTCCGATCACACAAGACTCGCGGGTCTGAGTTTCGACAACGCAAAGGCTGCAAACGACCTCTGGCAACACATTGAACGTCTCGTCTCCTGTCCCGAGAACATAAGCCTCTCAGTACCTGGTAAAAACAAAAAGAAAAACAAGAAACCCCCGGCAAAAAAATTCGTGCTGCCGGCAAAAAGTAATATAAGTCAGCCCTGTCAATTTCATCACATGACGAGTGTCGATGCTGCTGACAGATCACGATACTTTTCCCTGCAGACACTAGTGCCAGCATTGAATCAACTGGAAAACTCGATCGAAGCCACTTTCTAACGTTAATTCCAAACGTCTAGATAGAAGATTTAAAAAAACACGAATATATATCCTCGTATATATCTAATCACCTGCATCATTTTTCCTGTTTACGAAAACAACTAGTTTTTAGAAGTTAGATTGTACGTTATTAATGATATTTTAGATGAAAAGTTTAATGTTACATTCTTGTCCACTGTGATATAATATAAAGTTATATCTTCTCTCCTATCTGTTAATTATCAATAAACATGAATTACCTGAAATTAATTGGAATTACTCGTTTTTTGTAATCAGTGGTGAATCGAGGAGAATTCGTCCCGTTCATTATGCATCTGGCAGAAAATAATGATTGCAAATTTCTGGCGTTTATTCGTTATTCGTTTACTGTAGTCTTGACGTAGTCTATGATGATTATACAAACAATTGCTATTGATGGCAACGGTATGGATCATTTTTCACGACGCAATATCCATGCTTGGATGCATGAGGAAAATACGATTTAGAGTTTTTTTCTTGTTGTTGGACTTCAACTGTAGAAATGTCATTCGTCGGAAATAAAAAATTGGTTTGTTTGAAAATTCGGTTATTCTGCTTCGTTTGACAATTGATCAATTATGAAATTTCAAATTGATATGACCTTCCTGTTTTTCATCATGAAGAATAGAGAAATAGGATTCAATGAATGAGAATAAATTTTCAAGGAAAAAAATTGTTTTCATGATGTTACTACTTTGACTTGTTATTGATCTCATGTAATTAAGAAAAAATATGGCCTTCATTCAATTCCGCATTTCATTTATAACCAATTTGTGTTGAATATTTGAGAGAAAAACCTAGCGAATTCGTTAGAGAATTCTATTGAATTTTCTATTAGTTTTTGGACGATTCTATTGAAATGTTACAAAAAAAATGTTATAGAAAATATTCAATAGAAAAAGTCAATAGAATTCGATTTTTCTGTACAACTTATTCTATTGAGATATTTTTTGTAGAATTTCTTCAGCTACAATTTTTTAAGTTTTTTGCTTGATTTTCTTGTTGAGAAGAAAAAAAAATAGAATGAAAAACAGTTAGAAAATTTGAGCCGAAGAAATTCTATAGAAAATATCTAAAGAGAATAAATTATATGGAAAAATCGAATTCTATTAACTTTCTCTGTTGAACATTTCAATAGAATCGGCCAAAAACTATTAGAACGTTCAATAGAAATCCAATAGAATTGTCTAACGAATTCGCTAAGTTTTTCTATTAAATTTTTTCGGGCGAGCACCCTTAAACTTGATTTCTACTCGCACTATTATTCACAACGAATAGTTTTTATGGATATAAATAAATCGCTGATTCGATACTGACGGATTTATCTGGAATGAATTTTAGTTAAAATGAATGAAAAAGTGTTAAATAATGATTTTTATTTGATTAAAATATGTTATATTTCGTTATAACATTATTCCGCGTCCTTGAAAATGTCTGCAATATCGTCCGCAAGATGACGCCCCATGCCACGTTGAAACCGCCACCTGATGATTCTGAAGAGAAACAGCTCGAGCGAACTCTTACTTCAAAGATCCGATCAATTAGCCCCTCATGTATAGATATTCCAAATTTTTATTTTTTTCCTCATTGAAGTAGTTTTGAAGCAAATTGCGAGCTAATAAAAAATATTTGCTAGTTAGTACTTTTTTTTAAATAAATTTTTGAAAAATCACGTTCAATTGAAAGCCCGAGTTGAAGACCCGAGTTTGTAGCAAAGATGTCAGACAAGATATGAATGTTTTTTTGGGCTCAAACGAAAGAGCGGGTCGAGAAATGGCGTGCTAGG